TCTTCCCCCTCCTCTGATTGAGAACGTGGCTTTGTCTTAAAAGTATACTTTGGCTTATTTGCATGAAACCATCCCAATAAAACATGAGTCTATGGAACTCCTTCCAGAAGGGCCCAGCCCAAATGACAATAATCCCATCTCTCTTGCCAGTGACAGCTTCAGAGATGGACAGGGGACCCGTTCTGGCCCATGCCACGCCAGGCATCAGCTGGGATCTCCAGGGAAAGCTTCCTCCCTGCTAAGGGAGACTCTGAGGGGGCCCTCTCTGCTCCCTGCACACGCATCAGAGGGGAGCCTGTGGGCGGAGGTGGGCAGCTCAGGGGACGGGCACCGACGCACAGCCCGGGGCCTGGGGGTGTTCCGTCTCATGAAACAACACGGTTCTGTACTGCGTGGGCCACTGTGGGTTGGGATCCACCGCTGAGAGCCAGAACCCAGTGGTCCAGCTTGAATACCAGTAATGATGGTGACAGGGACGCGGCGGCCACCGCTCTTTCTGAACGATGCTGAGGAAGTCTTGCACCTCCCAAGCACAAGCTGCTGAGTTTGGAAGTTACAGGCTACCCAGACGGACGGCCGGGGTAGGGAGCTTTGCGAGCTGGTCGCGGGCAGGCAGACGGCGGGCGGCTTCAAGTACCTCCACTGTCACACTCGCTTTCTCGGGGGCTGATTCCACGCAGGCTCGTTAATTTGCACGTATGTCTTGAAGGATGATTCTAGAATGCTTCCCCTGGCCAAGCCCCAACTCGTTAGTCTGAAACTTGTTTCAAGAGAGTCCAGATGGCACTTTGGGCCACTGACTTGGAGAACCTCACTGCAGGCCAGCACTCTAGGCGAGGCACGTGGAGGATGCGGGCACATGAGCCGGTTCCGAGTCACCTGGTGGAGTGAGGACAAGTGTGCACTTCACGCCACCTGCCGAGGCCTTCCAGATTCTCCGCGGTTCCACTTGCTCTTCTGGTTGGCTCTGCCCAGCCCTGAGACCTGATACCCCTGTGACACCGGCAGCCATCGGAAGTAGCAGCTGATTCACCGAACGGTAAGCCCTTGAGCTGTGGGGCATCCTGCCAAGAATACCCAAGGCTTCTGCTCCTTTTTTAGCACTGGGCTGGCTTTCTTGTGCAATGCTGGAAAGCGGATCTGAGCCAGCCGCCTGGAGGCTCTTGGCGCTGACATATTTCTGAGTAAGACGGTCTTTAGAAGGCGCTGGCTTAATCTTAGAAGGAAGACAACTGCAGATTCAGGTCGTACGCCCCTTTAGGACTCATCTCTTAGAAGCGTTGTGGACCGAGCCAGTGCCATCGCTGTGTGTAGCCTGTCCTCTGTGGACGGTGGCCTTGCTGTCTGGTTATGTTCTGTAGCCCTCTCTCCCCTCCACCCTCCCACCCCCCTGGCATTAGATAGTAAACTCTTCTAGGTCAGAGAAAATAGCTGCTTCCTCTGCATTATCGAGTAGATATTTATAAGTATCAATAAGTATTGACAAAAGACTATAGGATGATGAATCTATTGTAACGGCAATATTTAATGTATGGGAGCAAACTAGCAAAACAGGCTTTATGTAAGTGGGGCAAGAGGGTTTCCTTTTTGCACTTGAAGCAACACCATGCTTTGAACCCACTACCCTTTGAGGGTATTTACTGAGTGAGTGAATGCCCTTTGTAGAACGCAGAGTTATAGGACTGGAAGGCAGGTCAAAGAGACCAACACCGTCCCACCTTTTAAAAGCAAGTTGTTCCAAATGAATGAAAATGGGCCAACTGATAATTTTTGAAAGATCACAAACTTGCACAGAAATCACGCCAGCATTCCGAGGTCTCTACTCTCAAGATGTTTTCTTCATGCCCTGTACCGGAGGTGGTGAAGTCACTGACACAGTCGTACTCAGACACACACACACACGCACACACACACACACACACACACACACACACACACACACACACACACACACACACACACACACACACACACACACACACACACACACACACACACACACACACACACACACACACACACACACTCACAACTTAGGAGTCTTCCAAAGTGAGGAAAAGAAAAAAGTAGAGAAAAAAAGAAAGAGAGTTCCAGACAGATGACTAGTTGCTGGGGCTGGGGTACATTTTTGGTGTCACATATTTATCTTCCATTCCTAATGTCCCCCGCCCCCCCGGCCAAGGCTGTGGAAACATGGCCTAGCAATAGCGAGGGTAGTGATAGCTTTTTGTTTTATAATGCACTGAAATGATTTCCTTATGGTTAAAGAAAAACAGGCTATTCTTTAGCTTAAAAAAAGAAGCACGTGTAACTGTAAGGAGGGATACTTAGGTTTTGTAATTTCCTTTGGACAAAAGTTATGACTTACTCTGGATAAATTCAGTAGCTTTATATAAAAGACTATCAACCAGAATATGCAGTCCTGGGAATTTTGGCTCTGTGGACTTCAACGTTCTGGATGAAGGCCAAATGAAAACATCTTCCTTCTGGCCTAAGGAGGAGTAAGCTGAGCGAGCTGATTCAGCCGTGCCAAGGTGTGCACTGTCCCTACGCGGCTGCCAGCACCTGCTTCAGACCCTGTGGCCTTCGTCCTCAGCACCAGGACTCTGAATGGAACTTAGGATGCTTTCTATTTTCATTGGCTGTTAGATAACCCTTTATTTTTCTGTAAAACGAGCAGCCTGAGGTCAACTCATAAGAAAAGCCACGCTTTGTCTTTTCTTCAGCACATGCATAACCACCCGGGGCAACTTACTCTTTCTCCTTTGGGACCTGCGGGGCCATGGGGTCCCATGGGACCATCTGTACCCTAAAAATAAAAGACAAAAATAGGATAAGATGAGACAGATCACATGGGCTGCAAGGAAAGCAGTTACAACCCATCCTGGCCTTCTCCTTGTACTGCCTGCCTTCGAATGTCAGGAAGACAATTCATCCCTTTCCAAGCGCTCTATACGTGACTCTTTCAGGCCAGTGGTTTTCAAGACGCTCATGCAAGAAGGGTGGGTTACGTAACTGCACATCAGTGCTGGGCACACACACAAAGCCACCGCCACATTTTCTTGTGTGTTTCCTCCCTGCCTGAACGGGACGTCTTTGCTGGCCCCCAGAATCGTAACAAGAAATGTGTAATTAATTGTCCTTCTTGTCCTCTCTTCCTAGGTCCTCTCTTCACACCCAAGGCTGCCCTTGCCAGGAGCACTCTGAAGCCTTGTTTGCAGCTATGGAAGTGGCTGGGATAGTTATGCCAGTGGGAAAAAAGATATGTGAGAGAGGGAACCAGCAGTTAGCGTAACGGCTATGTCGCTGGACTCCCACGTAGTCGACCGCGGTTCGCGTCCTGGACGCGGTGGCTTAAAACTCACGCCGGGCGCGTGTGCATGCGTGCCCAAGATCCTGAGAGGAGACTGGAGGAGAAGGGATTGCAGCGTGGCCATCCCCCCAGGGGGGTGATTTCTTGCTTTCTGTCTCTATGTCTCTCTCTGTCTGTCTGGCAAGCGCACGTGCCCTATAGCAAAAACCTCTCCGAAAAACCCCAAAAAACAAAAAACAAAACAAAACAAAAAAGATATGCGAGAGCAATGTTTAGCTGTTCGATCCCGACGTGCTGCAGTTCTGCTGCAGCGGCGGGGGGCGGGGGGGGTTCCACGGCTGGGACTGCTCCGCGGGTCTGCAGCCATGATCCAGTACCAGGCTGTCTCCGGCAGACCGGGGGGCCGGTCGTGTCAGTGCACGGCCGACTCTGACTTCAGGTGGGTAATATCTGAGTAAATCCTGGAGCACTGAGGTGCATGACAACAAAGGAGCCTGAAGCAGGTTTTTAGAGTCGAAAAGCTTAGAATGTCTTTTAGGGTCTTCAGAACATGGCCAGGATGTCATGCACACCCACTCATTTCCCAGAAGACTATGCCTGGACTTCCAAGGAATTTATTACGGTATTGTGAATGTGGGAACTAGTCGAGCGTGATTTCCCTGCAGCTCTGCCGCTCCTGTTCTGCTATCCTGGTTTACTTTGTTAGAGCCTTGTGCTATGAAAGAACTCAGAGTTTCAGACTCATTCTCATGTTGGTGAATTGTCATCATCTGAACGGATCTTTTCCTAACAGCCTGAACTTTAAGTTTCTCTTCAGTAGATTTCTAGGTACCGAGTATCTGCAGCTGAAATTTAAGAGATGGAGCAGTTAAGAACCAAAGAAAAAAGACAAAAAGACAGAAGACAGAGAAGCCATTTCTATGAGCAGATCGCTGGAAGTCGGTCTCAGGAGGAAGTCTCTCAGATGGACACACAGCAGAGGGGAACGAGTTATAGTGACATCACAGTCCTTTGTTTTCTTCAGAGGTCTCTCATGGACTGACAGGGGCATGCCTATTGGTTATGGAAAAGCTGTCTGGGCTTCTAAGATGTCAGGCCAACTGGACTGGTCTCTGGCCAGTCACTCCCCACCATCCAATTACCCAGACTTAACGTGGCTTCAGAGAATGTTCTGGGTGCTTGGCTGTTGAGAGCTGCACTTGTCCCGTCCACCTGTCCCCTTTCTGCCTCCATCTTTGCCCACTGTCCCCTCTCCCCCAGGGCGAAGTACCCACCACACGGCTGAGAATGTGCACACCACGCGCAGCCTCAGAGTGGGTCGGAGGAAGACAAGGACAGACTCACCCGGGATCCTGGCTTTCCGTCTAAGCCAGATGCTCCCTGTGGTGTGGTTGGTAGCGGGTTGGTGGGTGTGACACGAACGACAAGAACAGAGATTAGTATGTGGCACCGATGAACAAATGCAGCACTTCAAACAACAGAATATGCAGTCACGGGGCTGGGGTGACTATCACATCACTACGAATTGTTAGTTAAAAAACAGAAAACGAAAAACAAACCACGTGACACTAAACATCCCACAGGTGATGGCATTTTAATGGCATTTCTATTCGATGAATTCTTATTCAAAAGTCAAGTTAATGAGGTTTATCAAGTGAGCTGCAAAACTGTTACTGTGTGCAATCCCCTGTGAAGGCCGTTTTCTAAAGACAGTCCCTTCACTCGCAAAATAACTAAGGTTCTGAAGAAAGCATCGTGGCCACTTCCTAAGAACGGGCTCATTGTGATAATCACTCCAGGTCAGCATTTCAGAGAAGGAACAAGAGCTCTATGTATGCTTGTTAAAAATGTAGTTCTGAATCTCAAACGCGGGGTTTTAACAGGCCAGCCTGACTCCGAGGAGTCTGCATCGCCACGTGCTGTTTCCAGACTGTTCGGGCTGCTCTCCACGGTCACCACTAGAGGGACTTCGAGGGACAGGAAACAGCCAGAAAAGATTGTGTGCGGACAAGCAAAGCTCTGTGACTAGGCTGTTTCTCCGTTGGTTTAAAGTAACGCTGCATCATGGCCTGAATGGGAGAGGCCTTCAAAATCAAATGTCCTCTAAGTGCGCTTTTCCTTATCTTGTTCACTAGGCTCCACACAAACCAGGAATGACTCACAAGTGGCGTTCCCAGTGCTTTTTGTCAAGACTAAGCACAATTATGTCTTTATACGGCTTTTGTATCTCAAAGCCCAAATATTTATTTACGGCCTTTTACAAAGAATGACTAGGTCAAGGAGTGTTTAAGAAAGACAACGACTGGTCATGCCAATTTTCTTGGCAAGGCTGTGGAACTATTTTCCAATTTTATGCTTCAGATGCAGTTAATAATGCAAAATGGAAGAAAAATCTATTCCAGCTGCAAATGCTGACAGTGATGCTATTCCATACATTTTGGATGGCTTTAGTTTTTTTTTATTTTAAATTCCTCTGTATAATCGTATTAGGAGCCGTACAATTAGTGCAAGATGAGTTTGTAATGACGACACTAAACATTGTGTATTGTTGTTTGTTTAACATAAGCACAGGTAGAGCTTTTAGTTAACTGCTGTATAAAATTATCAGTAGTCCTACATTTGGAATTAGGACAAACTGCAAAGAAATCTGCTTGGAAGTTAAATATAAAATGGAGGAACTGAGTGTTCTTTTGCCTGTGAATATCTGTCACCCTTACTGTAACATTTGAAATGGGGGGGGGCACGATAAAAATGTCATTCCATCCACCTGGAATGCTGGGCCCGCGACTCGCAGTTACAGAGGGCACAGGACTGCATGCCCTGGTCTAAGTGGCATGGCCTAACCTAGCATGTGCCGACACAGGCTAAAGCCGTTCATTCGGTAAACTGTGTGTCCGACCTGCGCAAGGCACTGGCCGTCACATGGAGTAACTTTGTGCTTAGAGTCCAGTAGCTACAGGGAGAACAAAATCAATGGCCATGCTTGCTGTCGTCCCCACAGCTCTCAGGCGCTTACACACGGTTTCCTGTGACTGCCTTCATAGCTTACATTGCTAATGCAGTCTATTGACTGTTATCTGCATTCACCGAACAGATAGCATACAATGAGCTTAAAATTAAAGCCTCATATTCAATAACTAAAAACAATTTAATTGTTGCAAAAGAAAGCTGGCATACAGAGCATGAAAAGGGAAGATCCTTTTTTTATTAAAAATAAAAATCTCTAAACAACTGCAAAATGCTTCTTGTAGACTTCTCAGTGTGGCCACGTGAACGTCGTACCAGGGGACTTCTGAAACAAACAACGCAGAACACAGACCACCGAGAGGACAGACTGGTGGAGGAGCCGCCGTGGCAACCGCACCATTGCCCACGGCTGATCGTCACCTACGGAGGCTACCGTCTATGGTACCCGACGGGAAAAAGCGACACAGAGAGAATTTTAAGCTGCACTAAATAATGGAAGCATTCGGGAGAAATGATGAGATAATAACCACTACACTTTGCAGAGAAGAGGATGCTGGGAGAAGAGTGCACTCTGAAAGAGGAAGGGCGGGGTGTAAGGGACACGGCAGGGATGGACAGCATTGTCACGGGGCCCTCCTCGGACGCGAGAACAGGCATCGGGGCCAACAAAGAGGGCTGAGCTCGGCTCCCACATAGTACGCTTTCTGATCACAGAGATCTCAGCAGGGAGAGAGCCTCCGAGTAAACCAGAGTTGTTACATGGGGTAGAAAGAGAAGTTCGAGATTTGCACTGAAATGGAAAGTTTTCTTTACTTACTGGAAGACCAAGGGGTCCTCTGTCACCCTTTTGACCCGGTTCACCCTTCAATCCTTTAACACCATTTAACCCTGGTTCACCCTAAATGCAAAAGCAAATGCCAATTTTGGTCGCTGTTATGGGTGTTTAAATGGAGAGAAGAGCCAGTCTCCGAAGCGGGTGCAGATCCCAGTTTTAGCGAACAGCAGCGTCAGGCTGGCTTGGCCTTATTATTTTTTTTTTTTTATTTTTTTAAATCAAGAAAATTAATAAGCTGAAATTGTCAAATAATATCCTAGGGAGCAAAGCTCCTAAGAGTATGTGTGACTGAACTCCTGAATGTTTGAGCTCTGGTTCAAGAAAACTGGGGCTACACTGCATTGCTCGAACCCACCCGTCCCAGACAGCTAAGTGGGGGAGTCAGAAGCCCACTCTGCAGACGGAAAACTGGAATATGCTGGGCAGTGAGACAGACAGACATTTAAGCCTTTAAGCATTTTGCTTCGGGGAGTGAGCCGCAGGGTAGCAGCTGATGTTTGAAGTGCAGTCATTTAGCTAGTCCTCATTCAGGACACCGCCAAGTCGGGCCCTCTGTGGATTAATCAATGGATCGACAGCAAATCGCCCATCCCAGAAGGGAGTATGAAAGTCAAAGGACTTACGTGTAGTTCTACCAACCGTCCATCTGCCCAGGGTTAGAACAGAGGACGTAGGAGCCGCCGTGGCGACCGCACCATCGCCATGGCTGTTCGTCATTAATGTCACTCAGGGTGACATCACGAAAGCCATGGGAAGGGATAAATCTCTTGACTCTGTTTTTAAAACTGTGAGACTATGATAGACCTCTTTCCCGTCCGTAACAGCACGTTAGACAAAGCTCTGGTCTGTGCACTTTCCAGCTTTTAGGTAGACGTTACGTGGCCGAGGCAGTCTTCAAACACTTGTGAGGAGATATCTTCAGACTCAAATGCCCCACAGAGTCTGGCGGGACAGAGATGGGAGGGAGGTTACATCCGCATGGCAGTCTTGCCGGACAGAGGTAGGGGAGGTTACGTCCGCACGACAGTCTTGCCGGACAGAGGTAGAGGAGGTTACGTCCGCACGGCAGTCTTGCTGTACAGTCTTGCCGGACAGAGGTAGAGGAGGTTACGTCTGCACGACAGAAGGGCTTTTGCTGCCCGCCCGCCCGCCGTCTGCGGTGCTGCGATCTCCTGCCTGTCCCGTGAAGCTGGGACCACAGGCGCACGGCCGCTCACCGCCCTCACAGACTTTGCTGCCCATGCTGGCTGCACACTCATGACCCCTGCCTCGGCCTCCCGAGTAGCTGGCACCCCAGGCATGTCTAGCTTTTCAGCTGTTTAGGGTGGGCCTGGCATGGAACCTGGGCCTCCCAGAGCCTCAGCCTGCCAAGCAGCAGCGTCAGCGAGCACCTGCTATCACGCCTGAGCCAGGGAAGGTTTTTCTTTTTTCTTTTTTTTTAGGTTTTTGCCATAGGGTGCATGTGGTCATTGGAGAGAGACAGAAAGAGGCAAAGTGAGAAATCACCCCCTAGGGTGACAGCCATGCCATGGTCCCTTCTCCTCTATTCTCCTTGGATTTTGGGCACACATGCACATGCACCCAGAATAAATTTTAAGCTGCCAGGTGTGGGACTCGAACCATGGTCGGCCACATGGGAGTCCAGCACCTTAACTACAAGGCTATGAATTTCTTGGTGGGGAATCATGCATTGGTAAGAGTGAGCATTAATGGAAAAGGTCAGTTTAAAACAGTCCAAAGCCAGTGGCATAAAGCCCGAATGTTAAGTCTGGACCTACATTCTAGTCCCAGGTCTGTCATTAACTGTTGTACAATGGGGGCAGAGAAGATCCTCCTGGGCCTGGACTGTATTATTTATAAGTCAAAGAGGTAATCGATGAAGGCGGTTCAACTTTGTAACTTCCTGAAACCGAGACCTGGCGACGGCTGAAGCTGCGTGGGCAAAAGAGGAGGCTGCACCCTGGGCAGCAGAAGGGCCTCGGGCCTCTTCCTCCTCGCCCGATGGCGATGGCCAATCTGAACCGTTCGTGGAGTTCATGGTGGTGTCACCGTAGTCACTGTGGCCAGGCTGGTCTTTGGTGACTTTAATATCCAAGGGGAAGCCAAAAGTTGGAAGCACTGGCTTAGTCCAGAGTGTGAAAAGAAACCCAGAGAGGTTAAACGATGACCAGGTCGCAGCGCTGGTGGACGGGGCACTCCTCTGACCCCAGAAGACCATGTCTCGTCCTCAGCTCTAACCCGTGCTTCGGAGAGGACACTGTCACTGGCCTCATCGCAAGGTAGGGATTCGAATAAAGAGGCGTGAATACCCGTGCTGGGTGTCACCTGCCTGGCCAGGAACGGGAAGTTCAAGTTCCCTGGTTAGACTGACCCAGCTGCCATCCGAGAGCTGCGGGTCAGCAGGGCCAGCCTCCTGGTGGAGAGGCCGGGCTGCTGGGGGCTTTCTGGCTCCAGGGCCAACATGCACTGACGCGTCTCTCTGCCGCCTTCTGGGTGCTCCGACTCACTGCCGAGCTCTCGGGAGTCCCGCACCTCCTGGCTAGCAGTCCGAGGGTGAGCTGCAGGACGCACCTCTCCAGAGCAAAGCACCGGAACCCTGGGAGAACGTCGGACTTCAGCTGGGCAGCTGTCAGCCACGCTGGCAGAGGTTCGCTAAGTCTGTGACAGCCATATCTCCTTAGCCGTCACCACGACACTGTGCGTAAAGGCAGGAGGGAGAGGCCTGCTACGCCACCTGAGAGGAGAGCACGAGGCCTCGCCGTAAACGCTCTCTGGAGGAGAAGCCTTCACTCAGGGCTCGGTTTACCCTCTAGATGCCCTCTGGGTTTACGGAAATGCCAAGAACAGGTGCAGACCTGCACGGCAGCTGCGGCAGTTTCAACGTGAGGAGCGACTCTCCTGAACCCGCAGCGTGGGAGACACTTGTGAGTGACACGGCCTCTCTCCATCCAGGGCGCTGACGCCCCGCCCGTTCTAGGCCAGATGAGGTGCACGCGGCCAGCGCGTCTAGGTGCAGTACAGCTGCGCGGCAAGCAGACGTCAGTGCTGTTCAGACGGACAGCCAGACGCTCCAGAGGCAGAGCAGCGGGCTGGTCTGTAAACCCTGCCTCACTCCTCGGCGGTCGGTCTGAGCACATCAGGGCTAGTAGCTTCAGACGCTTGCGTAGGTGGCAAAGAGAAAGGCCGCGTGAGGGATAACTTATCTGCAGGCGATACAACTTAGATGTGTTGTAGGGCATTTTGTGCTGCAAGATTTAAACATCTGCATGCTTAAAGGCTTAAAGATTATGGACATTATTCGACAAATAAGTAAGACAGGACAGACATGCTTCCGCCATGCTCCGCGGCCATCGAGGAAACAAATCAAACTATCAAAGGATTTGTTGGATTACCTTTGGGCCAGGAAGTCCGTGGGGTCCCTGGAAACAGAAAACGCCATTTAATTAAAAGTTGATTCACTCCTTTTTAGCAGAAGTGAAAACTTAAATCAAATAATAGAAAAGGTGTAAAACAAGAACCCTCTTGTCTGAGACGGAGCTGGAGGCAGGACGGTGGGTGTGTTTTCCACCTACCAAAGTTCCGTCCAGCTCTTGAACTGCTTTGTAAAGGAAGTGCATGAATAGCAACTCTGTTTGCTAAGTGCCTGTGAGAGGGATGGAGAAACCTGACAGGGTTATGTAAAAGAAAAAATAAATATTAAAAACTCATATTGCTCCTATTTCTCAAGTCTCCCCTCTGTCCTTTTAAAATCTGGGTAGATGGTGGGAGCTGCTTCCCAAGTTGAAACAGAACACAAGTCAGACTTACAGACATTTGCCAGAGAAAAGCCCTGGACTTTGTACCAGTGAAGAGGGGATCTCTACAATGAATTCCTCTAGACCAAGGTGGAAGGAGTTAAAGGACACCGAACGTGAGGTGACAGCCAAGGTTGGGACCCTGTATCGACCTGACTTTTATCTGCAGATGAAGGAAAGGGTTCCCCTACAAGAAGGCTCAGCCTTTCTATTTAGACTGCACTCATCTTGTCAAAGAAAGTTCTTCAAGATTCTTACAGTCATGATTTACCAATGGGAGGAAGGCAGGAGGCACGCATGGTCAGAATTGAACACCTGTGTATTTTGTGGAGACTCTAAATGCAGAGACTAAGGAGACAGCCTGATTAACTGAGGTTAACACACTAGCTGTAGATTACTTTAAACTTGTCAAGTGATTTCAATCGACTATCTGGAGAGAAGAATACGTAAAGAGCCAGCGGTGAAACAGGACAGCAGAAAAGCTCGTACCAAGCAGCACCTAGATACTCCGTCCGCGCTGGAACCCGCGCTCCCTGCAGATGAGCTGCATGTGAGCATTTCCAGGAAATGGCTGTAACTTCGTCAGGTGTGTTTATCTCCTTTAATAATGACTTAGAATTCACTTCCACAATTTTACTACGTGGACAGAATATAGCATTTTCTAATGAAATCTAGCTTACAGTAAAGCAAGTACTTTAAAAGCCCAAAGTATGCCATTTGTTTCTTTTCTTTTTTTAATTGCCAGAGGGCATGCACGTTCACCAGGGAAGACAGAGCCAGAGGGAGACAGAGTGAGAAAGCACTCCAGAACGTTGTAATCCCTCCCCCTCCGTCCCTCCTGCGGGCTTTTGGGCATGCATGGGCATGGACCCAGCATGTTTTCCAAGCCACTGGGGCCAGGATTCGACCTCAGTCGGCCATGTGGGATCTGCTCCCTTAGCCATCAGGCCATGAGGCCAGCCCTTGCTTAGTTCTAAGTTTTCGAACTGCTATGCATGATAGATCTCATGCATGGGCATGACAGAAAGACCAAGGGGAGGAGAGAGAGGGAGGCCCCTCCACAGGGCTCCGCGGGCCTCCAGCCTGCCGGGGCCTGGGCACTTCCACCATGCCGGCATGTTCTCGGGCCAGCCAGGCCAGGATGCAAACCGTGATTGGCATGCGGCTCCCCATTCCTCAGCCTGGCACACCGCCAGCTGCGCCCAGGCCAGGCCGACTCCGTCGCTTTGGGGAAGCAGGGTCACTCACAGTGCTCTGAGACATGGCAATGCCGTTGGTAGGAAGTGCAGGGGCGGCCCTCATGGCCTCGGTCATTCTGCCTGCCCTGCCTCAGGGCACCGAAGGAGGGAGGAATGGCTGGGGGCCCGAGAAAGCACTCCAGAACGTTGTAATCCCTCCCCCTCCGTCCCTCCTGCGGGCTTTTGGGCATGCATGGGCATGGACCCAGCATGTTTTCCAAGCCACTGGGGCCAGGATTCGACCTCAGTCGGCCATGTGGGATCTGCTCCCTTAGCCATCAGGCCATGAGGCCAGCCCTTGCTTAGTTCTAAGTTTTCGAACTGCTATGCATGATAGATCTCATGCATGGGCATGACAGAAAGACCAAGGGGAGGAGAGAGAGGGAGGCCCCTCCACAGGGCTCCGCGGGCCTCCAGCCTGCCGGGGCCTGGGCACTTCCACCATGCCGGCATGTTCTCGGGCCAGCCAGGCCAGGATGCAAACCGTGATTGGCATGCGGCTCCCCATTCCTCAGCCTGGCACACCGCCAGCTGCGCCCAGGCCAGGCCGACTCCGTCGCTTTGGGGAAGCAGGGTCACTCACAGTGCTCTGAGACATGGCAATGCCGTTGGTAGGAAGTGCAGGGGCGGCCCTCATGGCCTCGGTCATTCTGCCTGCCCTGCCTCAGGGCACCGAAGGAGGGACGTGTGCCTGCCACTCCTCTAACCACGTTACTGAAGCCCTGGGTTTACGGAGTGGCCCCAGCAAGGATTGCGACCTCTAGCCTGCCTGCTGGCCATCCTGCCGCGTCTACAGTGTCCGCTGAGCTGTTGCAGCGCCAGCCTTCCCTGTGCACTGCCCACCTCCCGCGGGACGTGTGGGCGGTGAGGCAGGGTCGCCGAGAGACTGAACTTTCCTAACCGACAAGGCGAAGCTCTGGCCGTGTATGTCGTCCGGGGAAGGAAGCTTCGGTTTTCATCACGCGGTTTCATAAACGTTCTCACTGAACGTTTCATCATCAGGTCTCGAAGCTCCGTGCTTCGAGGGCCATTCTCCAGGGGCTGTGAGCTTCACTCTGGTCCTGCCCTGGGGGATGAGGGCAGTCAGACTGGGCAAATGCCCTGCAGGGTTTGGACCGTGGGGCTGGAGAAGCGATCCCAGCTCTGTCTCCCCTGGACCCAACTGCTCTGCCCAACGTGTGTGCAGGGGTGGACAGCAGTGCTGCAGGGGTCAGGGCGGGCCAGCTCAGCCTCGTGTTTTCTGTCCATTCCGCAGAGAACAGTCTGGAATGCAAGCTGGCTGTCTGAGGGGGCTCAGGCACACTCACACACAGAGGAAAGCGGGAAACTTACCATGGGACCTGGGGGGCCGTGGGGACCCGGGGGGCCTGGTGGGCCGATGATCTGTGCAACCAAAAATAAACATCCATTTGGTTATTCCATTGAGACAAAAAATTCCTTTGTGAGGATAAGAAAGCTTCAGAAAGATACCGAGGTTCTATGAAATGCATTTAAAGGAAAGGAAGCAACTGGTTGTCCAGAAATGCTAGACCACCACAACCACTATTACACCTGGCACTTCACCGGGCAGACCACCACAACCACTATTACACCTGGCACTTCACCGGGCAGAGACGGGGCTTCACAAAGGCCACCACCGTGCTGTGGGGAAGACACCCCTCTGCAAACCTGCTCCCAGCTCGGATCTCAGGGACAAGGCCACAGACCTCTCCTCTACAGTCTGACAAAGCAGGAGGTCTGTGGCCTTCCTCTTCTCAGCGCACTGCCTGGCACAGGTGGAATCAGGCAGGCACTGGGCCCGTGCCCAGGTTTTCAGGAACTTACGGAAGGACCCTGAGGGCCTGGCAGTCCGGAGTCTCCCTTTTCTCCTTTCATTCCGTTGGCACCCTGCAAACAACCGTCCAGCAGAGTTAAGCCAGGAAAGGCGTCCCCGAAGTGTAAGAGACGGCTGCATCTCCCCAAACCCATATTCCTGACGTGTTACTGTATGATGCACCTGCTCTACACAAGGATCCATCTCCTTGCATTTCAGCCTTAAACCGCAAGCTTCCTAGCCCCCCTGTGATTGTGGGTGATCTGTGAAATAAACCCACAGTAACTGAGAACTAGCCAGAGCGTGGTGGCTAACACAGTGTCAAACTGGACGGTAAGTCGCCTTTCACGTGGTGCTGACCGTACACAGCAGAGGTAAATTTCTGAACTCAGGCTTTATTAACATTGATCTATCTACCTCCTAGTTTTATTTATTTAAAAAATGTTCACATCTCCGCTTGCTAATTCTCAGTAGAAATTTGGGGAGAAAGACGCCATCTTATCACATCATACACAGAGAACACACGCCAGGGTAAGTTTTAAACATCCTCCCACATTGCCTGGCTTACTTCTCATTGCGGCTTAGTTTATGATGATCAGAGACCACCACGCGTGCTAAATTAAAGTGACCAATCAGAGATACCTGCTATCTTCTAGTGAGAATGACTGAGGAAACGCGAAGGTTTCCTTCATGATTATTTGGCTGCAGGCGTCAATATTCCAGTTCTTTTTTGGAGTAACAGGCCGACACCACCTCCAACAGTTTTAAGTAAAAGTATGATGTAGCCGCCAGACGAGGCTGTAGTTAATAACAACTCTTTGCTGCTTATTTAATCCTACTAAGAACAAATCATCCAAAGGGAGTCGTACCGGCAGCCCGGGGAGTCCGATTCCTCCTTTTTCACCTGGCGTGCCTGGGTCCCCTGGATCTCCCTTTGCGCCCTGGAGCCCCTGCGAATGACAGGCATGCAGTAAGTCTTCCTGCCTCTCCATCCCTCCCGCCACACCCTCACGGGAACAATTTCAGATCCACGCTGTCCCGAGTGGGCCCGACGTGGAGGTGGCCCTGATTTTCACGTTCAGGTGGAGTTATCTGTGGCAGCAAGCCTCCGCGCGGAATCAGGGCCGTCTCCCCACGAGACGGAGCAGTTAAGTGCTGACGCTTAGTCCCTCTAAGTATGGAAACCATGAGTTTAGGTCTAACATTGTTTCTCCTGGTTTCCTAATTCTCTCTCGCCAGTCCTGTAATTTAATGGTTTTAATTTAATGGATTTAATTCCTGACAGCACAGGATATGTTTTGAGCCAGGACCCCTTGTTACAAGAACAAAGGTTGAAATCAATTCACCCCACCTACCCCCCGACCGCCTTAACTCCAGGCAGAAGTCCCAGTTCCTGTCCACTTTCCGAGTCTCCTCCTACACGGGTGTAACTGAGTAACTGACCGGTGTTAAGCTCGCCCCACGCTGACCATTACTCGCACTTTTCCAGTGCTCTTGGTTTTTCTCAGGACATCTCTGGGAGCTGAGCCAGGATGCCATTTTTATTTCCCTTTTACAGTGAGGAAATAGATAAATGTGCATTTTGAATGGTAAAAACACCCCTGGAATCTGCAGTACTAGCATGGAAATTAATTTGTGCTGTCCAGGACTTTCATCCGAGGGCCTCGCTGCGACATGTCCGTGTGCCTCGTCCTCCAGCAGATGCGATCAGAGTTACGACGGGAATGGCTGTGTACAAAGCTGCCCATCTCTTCCACAGGCAGGGACAGAGCAGACCTTTCCTGGGACCTGTTTTATAGCTCCAAGGCCAGAACCCCAGGGGGGCAGTGGCCAGGTGCCTGCATGGGCTGATGGCCTTCCCGGCTTACCAGACCTGGCTGGGCCCAGGAATCTAATGACAGGCCCGCTGGACCAAAGCTGGTGGAGAGTTTGCACGCCTGTAGACCACAGGGACCGGCCTTGGCCGGTGGCATGTTCTCATGCCTGGCAAGTCAGTTACCATGACGACCCAGTGAGGGTGGTAACGCCCAGCTTTGTAGCACAAACCTGATCTGTGATTGGCAGGACAAATCACCTATAGAATACAGTGTCTTCAATCCCATCTTCCTAACGTGCTATCACGTTACCTCAGCATACACTCCGATACTGAGAATAACGCTGCTCCGAAGCCCAGTTTCTTGTCTAATATTTTCTCCAAGGAGCATCTGCTCACTGTCTCAAAAGTGCCTTGACTCCTTAGGATTTTCTTGATTTCAGCGGTTTATTGGAAATAATAGAAATGCAGAAGGTTTTAAAGATCCTGGAAGTAACCCTGAGGCCCCACGGCTGTCCCCATTCTCTGGGTCAGACTCTTTTGGAGGGGATTGCCAAACCATGGCTGGCAGGCCGGAGCCAGCCCAGGGACTGCTTTGTCCAAGCTGCGTGCTTCTCCAGACCCTGATAGAACAGTTTGGCAACCTTAGTTTCAGGAGAACTCTGGGAGGGACAGCTGCACTCTGCAAAGCGCGAGGGTCCTGCTTGTCCATCCCTTTTCTATGGCGCTAGGAAATTTGGTATGCTCTTTATTTGGGAGAAGAAAGCATTGCCGAAATAATGCAAATAAGTAACGTCTAATTTTGTAGAAACTGTGGTCACTGATAACAATCTCGAACTGTTTGCATTCACTGACAAAAATTAGGCTGTTCTTACTGACGGGTCAGGATCTTACCAGGCTACGAGAAATCTGTGGAGGAGCCCCTGGGGTACTGATAGGGAGGATTAAGAACAGAGCTTTAGCATCAGGTGTGTGTCTTTGCAGATTACCTGCTCTCCATCAGCTCCTGGGACCCCCGGAGGCCCGTGGTCTCCCTGTGAAGATAAAAAGCCAGGACTTGCCTCTCGTTACCATGGAAACAGACCACACTAAGCACAGTGCGCTGGCTGGCTACCAGTGCCATCTGACTTGGAGCAAGTGACTGCAACCCAACACGACTGCTGGAACATACTCTGAAACTCTGTGAAACAGCCATTGTCCTTGGAGAAGTACGATGCTTTTATGTGTACAATAGCTAAGGTCGAATTTTTCTTATTTTTCCTCCATGTTAAATGCAGGTTAAGAAAGTAGTAAAAGAAAAACCACAAAAGACAACGTACACTCTGGCGGTTGGCCGTGTCACAAAGCAACGACATATGTCTCAGCTCATTTTTTCTCTACACGAAATCTGCCCTGTTTCTTTAATTTTCCAAGTTCAGGAAAGAGTAAACCTAACAGTTAACCTAAGAAGTATGAAACAGCGAGTCTCCTGAGTTGACAGCAGTGCTTAACTGGCTCAGTGTGAGCAGCAGGAACAATCCGGACACAAGGAACCGGCTAATACCCTAATCCACATACAATTACTTTGGGATCAATTCCATTTCCTATACTATGCTAAGGATGAACAAAATTTGCTATTCATATGATGATTTATTGGGACTTTCAACAAACTCAAAATATACAGATTTATGTTTGTGGGTTTTTTTTTTTTTAAACTGAAGATGTTCCATTAAAAACAAATTTAAACAATATGCGGTGGATTTATTCAAACAACAAATGATTAGTTAGCTTTCAGTTTGGAAAAGTACTGAGCAAGTACATTTCTCCAGAGCTAAGACATTATGTCACCCCACGAGTCATCCGTGGGGCCGCCATGGCAAACCTCCTGGCTCCCATGCCATGGAGGCCGTGCTCAGCTCTCGGAGAGGGAGTGGCGCCTGCACAGACACCCCAGGAGCTGGACTCGGCCGCCTCTTCTGGAAGGGCCTGCTCAGGGACACTACAAGCTACAGCACTCACATGCCTAGCGCTGCCTTCCCAGGTACAAGTTTAGGAGCCGGGGCCACGGCGTGGTATTGGAGCTTCCAGTGTTTAAGACGTGACCTTGTGGTTCCCAACCACTGAGCTAACAGGGCCAAAAATAAAAAGAGAAAGGGAAGAAAGGAGGTGGGCTTTTCTCATCTCCGATTTCCTGCCCTTCTGGTGGCAGCGAAGTTCGTTTTGCCACAGACGAGTCTGCGGGGGTGGGCGCACCGGCCAGCCCTTTCTCATAGGTCTGAGTTCTCATCAGCATGCGGGGTCTGATAATGACGGCTTTGCTAAGCTGTTCCCTTTAAGATGTGACTCACATATGTTTAAAAGAAAAACATACTTCACACGTTCCATATCTGCCCTTCACTCCTCACACGTGGTTGGTAAGAGTTACTGCTGTGTAAGAAACTGAACGGTGGCCGTGGGTGGAGGCAGGAGGCGTGCTCACCGAGTGAGACCCGCTCTCTCCGTGGCAGACCACGGCCCCGTGGGAACAGGCTTTGGCCGAGCTGTGCTGTCTCTGGCCACTCCCTGTCCCACTCGCCCCAGCCTCAAGGAGAGACCGTAGTGGGGTGGGCAAGGTGGTGCTGTTAGTGGGGAGGCTGGCCAGGGGGGAGGTCAGAGAGAAGGGCCAGGTCCCCCCTCCACCTTGCGTCTAGATGCTCGCCTGCCAACACTCCCTGCCTCGTGGGTTCAGTTCAAAGCCACCCTCGACCCGACCTAGAGGAGCCATCCCATGGATGTCTGCAGCACACGTCTTAAAGCCTGTCTCTGTCTCTAGGCGGTGAGCTCCTTGCTAGAACCCGACTAGGTGTGCGGCGTTACCCGAGCAGGCTCCAGGGACCGCTCTCTGCACACCTGACTTAGAGGTGGCCGCGGCGACGCAGCCAGGGAGTGCGCTCAGCAGTGCGCACTTTTTGTCTAGGTGGGTCCTTCTGCATCTCTGGGTCCAGACACGGACACTTTTGGGCTTCAGTAGGACTTTGGCTGTGGATGAGAGCAGCGTCTGGAAGCTTTGCAGTTTGCGGGAATGAGGTGGGTATTTAGCTTCGGGAACAGATTTTGAGACTTGGTCAGGTGAGGAGAGGACGTGAGAAACTTAGAGCTTGGCTGGTTCCATCAAAGGAAAAGCGAGCCCGAGGGTTGGACCGCCTTGCCCTCATCACCAAGCTCTGAGCAGAGATAGGGGCCCGGGCCGGCTTGCTCACCGGGGCAGCGGCTGCACGCGCCTGGAGGGACTGAAGGACCAGACCGTACTGAGAAATGAAAGTTCAAAATTCAAAACTTGGCATTAAAATTATGCGTGAAGTCTGTGTGAAATATCGGTCTAGTTTTAAAGATAGCTCACGTAGGCAAGGACCTTGGTAATATTTTTTCTTTATATTCTCTTATATAACAGAGAAATAAATTTTCTAGGTACTGCTTTGTGTTTTGAAGCATGTCGAGAGATGAGTACAAGAGCTGACACGTGAGCATGGAGTGTGCGTGTGGACGCGTGTGCGCGTGCGTGACAGGATTAGCCAATAAGCTGTCTGAGGACGTGGATGCAAGATGAATCGGGAAACCACTTGGCTCTCCGACAGGAGTCGGTAGTAAGAGTCACGTCTCAGCACGTGTCGCTCAGCCTAAAAAGCCAGGTCCACCGGCCATGTGCTTGCGGGCTGAACATGGCTGTCTGGCGAAGGTTCGGCTTGAAAGGGTCAGCTGGCCCTGTCGGCGTGTCCTGGCTGTAACGGGGAACCAGCGTCCTACTGTTTTTGGGGGGCATGCTTCAGTGGTGAGATTTATGGCAGAATGTCTAGATACACACGGTGAAGGCGCACGGTAGTGACGCCCCGAAAACGACTCCTAAGATCGTCCTGGGTGCACCACACCAAAGCGCCCCTTGTTCTTTTACTGACGTAATCGGGAGGAGGAATCTTAGTGTCTGAACACGCTCTCCCCAGTCCTTCTCGACGTAAATGTATGTGTTTTTAATGTAATACTGCATGTAGCGTTCCTTTTCAAGTGCTGAGGAACTGTTTTGGGTTTGTTTAATATTTTTTCCCAGTTTTGTCTCCTAAGTGCCGCTCCGTAAGTAGTTCTCCCCCTTCCCTCTCATTTGCTTTCTCCCTTCCTAACTCTCCTTCTCCCTTAGTCCTGGTCTCTCCCCTCAGTCTCTGAAGCTCATCTCTGCCTCTTTAGCAGGCTGATGTTCGAAGACACGTTAGGAATGGGCTTCTCCGACCGCACGCGGTAAACGGAAACAAGTAAATAAGAATAACCTTTGGCCCTTGTAGTCCTTGAGGTCCAGGAGGCCCAGGGGGACCCTAAATCAAGAAAAGTCACAGTTTTAAAAAGTAGCAGGTATGTACAGTAAAGTCATGCTCTGAATAGTAAGCCCATGGCACACACCTCCCTATCTGTCACAGTCAGATACCCCTACTGACCCGCGGCGGGGGACAGGTCACGGCCACGCAGTCGTGGAAACGCCCCACTCACGCGGCAGCTACCGACACGTTTCAGGTGGAAGCTGGTGCGGGTGCTTTGGGGCCCACCCTGTACGGCAGCACAAGAGCTGTCCTGGCCCTCGGAGGGTGCGTCGGGCTCCCAGCACCACCCGGGCGTGACAGTCCTGGCCCCCGCCCAGCTCCCACTGCTCATGCTCTAAGGACAAAGCTGCATTTCTACGGCAAGGGCAGACTTTTCAGAAAATTAACAATATTTTTTTTCTTGACTTTTCACTAAGCAGACGAAGTGATGCTACTGTGGCAAATACCGTCAAAGGTGTTAATATAAGAACACGTAAAGCTAATTCCAGATACAACAGCTGCTATGTTAGTACCGTTTTGACCGGCATGCATCAACGGAAACACGGTCACAGGCCGCGGGAGTCATGCAGCGGGAGTTACCGTGACAGTGAGGGTGGCGATCCGCTGTGGGGAAAGCGTGGACAAGACAGTTACGGCTTCTGAGTACACGGGACAGCACGCATTTCTCAAATAACCAGCTCTCTGATGTCTCAGGACGAGCCGACAGATACTGAGAACATACCACTCTATTTACAATGCAGTAACGTTAACGTAAAAAAAAAGTGTTTGAATCTTGTTTTAAAAAAATCCGTAGATGAAGAAAAGGGAATACCAAAATTTTAATTCGCCTGCTCTTCTAAGTTACACAGTAAAGCAGTTTTATACGAGCGGCGTGTCAGCGCCACCGTGGGCCGGGAAGCTGCGACTGGTAGAACCTCTACCCTAGAAAACCCTGTCATAGCCGACTCTGTACTTGCCTTCTGTCCTGCAGCTCATTTGCTGCAGTAAAATGAATTATTTTCTATAAGATGACGTCAAATTCATCCAGGTATGAAGCGCTGGAGGACTGTGAGATGACACACTAAGTGCGCGCCTCTGACCCGCGATCCCTGATTCATTAGACGTTCAAGTTCACACCCCGAGTCAGGGTCTGTGCTGAAGTTTCGGTCGGCCTATAGCCGCACGGCCTCGCGGGAGAGCACTTTCTGCTAGGGTCTCTGCTCATGGAGAGACAGCGTCCCAGTACATGTTAGGTGGGTGCCCATTTAACCCCGCCCTTTCTCTCCACTGCTCCTGTCCAATCCGATTCAGGCGGCGTTTCGCTATTGCCCTGTAAATGATCTTAACACTGTCTACCTCACGTCGAATGCTCGAGTCTCTGGTGACACAGTGTCATTGTTTTCTAGAAAACGGCCGAGGTCGGCACCGTGTGTCAGAACAGGCTGTGGCCATCACAGCTCCAGAGATACAGCAGGAAAAGCCATCAGTGCGTCTAGGCAAGAAGGCAGCCCGCAGTGTGTGTCCTGCTGGGTAGGGGCTCGTCACCGTCCGAGTGAGGCGTAGCGATTTAATGTATGAGCAACAATGAAAAAATCAGAAAAAAGAAAGAAGGTAGGAAGGCCACAAACTGGGGGCAAATTAAAAAAAAAAAAAAGCCCAGAATTGTACACGAGCACACCTGTGTGGCAGGAGGTGCACTTACTCTGTTCGTAAGGATCCACCCAGGCCTAGAATTGAACTCAGGGTCCACATTTGTGGATGAGAAAGGTGCTTCTTGGCCTCTGAGAGTGGATGAGTCATTTATTTAAAGGGGGCTATTAGAAAATTATAGAGTAGGGACCAGCAAATGGTGTACTGGTTATGTCACTAGACTCCCACATGGCTGACTGCAGTTTGAGTCCTGAACCTGGTGGCTTGAAACTCACGCTGGGCGTGTGTGCATGGGTGCCCCACATCCCAGGAGAAGAGAAGAGTGGAGAAGGGACTGCGGCGTGGCCATCCCCCCGGGCGGTGATTTCTCACTTTCTGTCTCTCTGTCTCTGTCAGTCTTTCTGGCGAGCACATGCGCCCTCTAGCAAATTCTCTCTCCATAAAGGAGAAAAGCAGAATAGATCACTTGTGTACACTGTCTTTCCTTTACGGACTCTAGTTTTAGTTAGAAAGCAGAATCGTAAAAAGGAGGGAGTTGGAAATTTGAACTCTCGGCGGTTTTCTAACATGTGTCATTTATGAATTCAATGTTTCTCACCTGAATAAAGGCTAGTTTTTCTTTTTAATTTAAGGACCACAGCGTGTTTTTAGAATGAGCTGCATAATAAAAGCAAATCATTAATGGCATCTGAGCTCCCAGATGAAGCTCGAGTGACTTTATTAGGTAGTTACATTGTGAGGCCTGAAAACGGTACCGGGTTCCATCCAGTCAACAGAAGAAACGCCAGAGCAGAGGAACCCAACTGGACACGTGCACACGCCAGCCGCCACCTGCAAAGCACTGCATGTGCGCGCAGGGGTCCCGAGACGCTGGCTGGCTGTGGATGGCTGGTGACCGGCCCCTCTCCATGAGAGCTCGGAAACTCAGTAGGGGCTCTCTGGACTGGTAACCCTGGGGAGGCAGATCTGCCAGCGCGGGGAGAGGGCGCGCTGTTCTGGGCTGGGACGTGTGAGCTGGGGGTGAGACTGGGAGGGCTGCGAGCGGGCGGCCTGCAGCCTACTTCGCCCTTCACTCCTTCCGGTCCTCACAGGAGCCTCCGTACCAGTAAAGGCATTTTCTCTCACTTCTCGTAATGGCTCAAACTTAAACTCACCCATGATTTACGTCGCAGAGCAGGCTCAATTTAGATGGTGGTGGGACTTTTTAAAGGCTTGAGTTAGGAAACAAAGCAGTTTTACTGCTAATTGGGGCAAATTAACCACCTTAAATAAAAATAAATGGCTTACGGCAATGTTCATGCATATAACGATTTTTAACTAAGGCAGCAGTAAAGTTTTATATTTTGAATGAGGTATTATTATAGCTGTAATATGCTCTTTATATAATTACCCTACAGTTTTTTGGCAGATTATTTTAGAAGAGGCAATGATGAAATGAAGTCTGCAGAACTGGAAGCACCCGCCATTGATCAGAGGGCTGGAATTAAGTGCCTGTCTACCATCCCTTCTCAGTCTAGTAGCTACCTAACTCAACTGATTCGATTAGGGATTCCTAGTTCATTAGAATTATGTTAGAAAAGCAACACACAATTTTAAAGTGAGAAAATAAATACAACCTATTCACAAGCACACCATATAGTTGCCGTAGGAACCCCGTAAGAATAATCTGTCTTGTTGAGGCATGAGCATGAGCCGGTCTGCTAGGATGGGTGCGACTGGGTTTCAGTCCGACAGAACTCAAGGTGGGAGGAGACTGACAGCTTATACCCCTTCACACCAAGATGTAGGTGTCAGATCTGTGAGAAGCACAGTGCTCTTAAGCCCATCAATAAAAGCGTTCAGGAACACCTAAAAACAGCCCAAGAATAATGTTAGGTTTCATGGATTCGCTGAGAAAAATCCACTTCAATAACATCTTCATTGTTAGATAAGATTGCTAAAACACGGATGTATTAAGCTAGTCAGGAGCCAAGGGGAGACTGAAGCCGAGATTTCTTTCCTAAGGAAAGGTTGCTCGCGTCGTGCCAGACTCTGATAATGCAGTGCGTTCAGAACTCAGCAATTTGCAGAAAGTGGCCAACGATATTGGAGCATTTGTTGGCAGCTAAGAGCGGGTACCAAGTGCATGTGTGATGTGTGTGTCGTGGGCACCACCACACCCAGCTCCTTCAGATGAGGGGCCAGGTGCTGCCATGCTGCCAGCGACCTGTAACTCCATCTGCCTTGGCCTCCTCAGTAGCTGGGGTCTCAGGTGTGTGCCACCGTGTCCGGCTGCCAGCTGGCTGGGGTTGAACCCAGGCCCCAGGCAAGCCAGCCCGTGAGCAGCAGTGTGTCCAGCACGGCGACCACAGCTGCCCAAGAGCAGAGCCCTCTTAGAGACGGCCGAAGAACTACGATGCTGCTGGAAGTCTGTGTTCTGCCTTCATCGCTCTCTCCACACGCAGTTACCGATTTGTGGGAAGGAGACAATTTAGGAATCTGGGTCTGGAACAGAACAGCCAGAGGGCGCTGCTCACGTCCCTCCCCGTCCCTAGGGAGCACCAATTCCCTGTGTGTGGAGTCTGCTGGCCAACAGCACTCCCCAAGCCAGAGACGCGCTTCTCTCTGCACTTTACCAGAAGGGGAAAAACAAGAATGAGATGGCCAGAAAAACAGGCTGAGCTAAGGATGAGGTTTGCAACAACTACTGACGAAATCCTTTAGTAGTTACGAACGGTAGCTACGGTAGAGAACCCGGAGAAGGGTGTGTGTACTGTACCTGGACAGGACAGTGAGAGGTAAAGATGGACAGCAAGCTGAACGGGTTCAACTGGCAGAGAAATACCTAAAACCACTAATCTGGCTTGTGAGCAAACAAACAGCTTATAGATATTAGTTAAGTATACTCACTCATTCAATGAATAGCTATTTATTTAGCATTTGCATATCCAGACAACATCAACCTAAGACAGATTTTGGTGGCAGAGAAGCTTACAATCTGGTAAGACTGAAATCGGTTTGCAATGTGAGGACACTTAACTGTTGAACTTTCAGCCCGGTACAGCTTTGAGCTATAAGGTAGGAGTCAGAAGGGGGAAAGAAGGAAAGAAGAATGGGACGATCCACAGTAAAAGAAGACCCACACGGACGTGGCAGAAATGACGGCACAGGGGAGCCTGCAGTGAGGAAGCGAGAACCCCGTGCAGGCAAGGCCAGGTCAGAGCCAGGAGAGCGGGATGGAGATGGTAGGGCTGCCCGGAGCGGGCAATATGGGTCATTTGGGTCTCGAGTGAGTCAGGACCACTGGCGTAGTGATCGTGTATGACAGCTGGGCTTGGGGTGAGCACAGGATGGATTAGAGGACAAGGAGGCGCCAGGGAAGGAGGAATGGACAGAAGTTGTGGCCGTGTTGGGCAGAAGTCCCGGGTGGGGGTCTAGCTGGGAAAGGACAGAATGCGAAAGTACAGGGGACTTTGTGACAAAGGTACCGGCAGCACCCGTGAGACAGAATGAATGAAATTCTAAGAACAGCTTGAAAGTGGTTCCCAAGTTTGTATCCCAGGAAACTCAAAGACTCACAGCACCGCTAACAGAAACTAGCCGAAAAAGACACACATGGGTAGGCAGAAGGGGCCGGTGCAGCATGTGCACCGGCAGGGGTGGGCGAGGCAGCGGGCCTCCACGGCAGAACAGGCCAGCTGGAGGCCAACGCGGACAGCCCGGAGACGAGCGGACTAGGAGTCACAGCAGGGAAGCACAGCAGGGAGGGATTGCACCCAGACCACGGGGACCTGAGGACACAGCTTAGGAGACAGAGAACCTGGAAATACCGAATCAACTGTGTCCATCAGAGAATAAAAATGGCAGAAATGAAAATACAGGATCAGAGAGACCAAAGAATTTCCAAAGGAAGGTGGTTTGGTATAAATGTCACAGAAAATCAGGACTCACAGGACGAGTACAGTGGGCTCAACTTGGAGATGACTGCAGACCTTCCTAAGAGAAGCTACGAAGAATCATGACAGCATGAGGCTGGAGCACAGGGGGCCTCAGGACGGCTAGGACGCGAAGGCGACAGAGATCGCACGCTCAGGAGTGGACCGGTGCTGAGTGGCAGCCGAGTAAGAACTGCCCAGGGAGCTGAGCGCAGGCCCGGGGAGCTGAGCGCACGCCCAGGGAGCTGAGCGCACGCCCGGGGAGCTGAGCGCAGGCCTGGGGAGCTGAGCGCACGCCCAGCACTATATGTAACATGCCATCACTGTTTGCTCCTCTCAACAACCCTGCAAAGTAAGCAGATGCTGCAAAAACTCTCAGTCTACCATGGAGACACTGAAGCCTGGGGAAGTAAAATGACTAGCCTTGCAGGGGTCACACAGTGAGTAGGCCGGGAAACTGAGGCTCCAGCCCACACAGCTCCAGCCTGAGCCACAGAGCTATTGGCTGCTGTGCTGAGGTCCCTCCAAGCGGGGACACAAAGGCTGGGCCTGCCTGGCACGCCTGCGCCATCAGACCTGGGGAGCTGGAGAGCACCACCGTGGGGGAGCACAGGGGGGGTGGAAAGCTGGAAATCGGGAGGATGCTGGGTGGGGCTCAGGAGAGCGGGGAGTGAGGGTCATTCCTGCCATGGGACCCTCTGTGGAGTGCAGGCTCACACGGGGCACGCAGTGTTCATGCGTGTCACTCCCAGTGTGACAGGCGGGCGCGGTCACTTGCCTGCAGAGCCTCGTGGAGGTTGCCATTGTAGTCTATGATCTCGGTGGCGCCTTGGTCTCCTTTGTGTCCAGGGGGCCCCTAGGACAGAACCAGCCAAGGGAGAGGCGTGGGGTTAGCCGGGTACAGCGCACAGCGCAGGACGGACACAGCTGCTCACCGCTGCTCACCGCTGCCGGCCTCCCTCTCTGCCCAGCCCCCCGGCACGCTAGAATACACATGTCCGAATTCTGCCCTTGTCCCCAGGGGAGCAAACCATTGCTAACTTCCTGTCTGGGATGGACTAAGATCAGAAAAGTGGTTTATAAAAAGAGGTATGATAGAGTGTCTGAAATTATTTTCTGAAAATTGTAAATACAGGCTAAGCTGATGTGACTTATACAATGTTACTGGCTTTGCCCATATTTATGAAAGCAACCCTAACCTCTTCCCCATGTGCACCCCAGGGCTTGCTCCCCACTCTTGAAGAAGACAGCCTCGTTCAGTCTGTAATGCTTGGCTTTCTCAGCCAGAACAGAATCCCATAGAAATTAAACCAAATAAGGAACAAAAAAGAATACAAGTACACATCGGACTTCTACCCACTGATTAGATGTGCCGCTTAATTTCCATTCGTCATGTCCCAATTCCCTGCCTTAAAAAGGGCTCCGAGCGTATGGCTTATTGCTGTCTTTGTAACTGGGTTAATTGGAAATGGAGGCTCCTGGAGCTGGGATGGCTATGGGGTGCTATTGCTCACTTAGCAGAGGGAGCGCAGGCAGGAAACGTGCTCAGACCTTCTTCTCGAGGAAGCCCATTTAACGGGTCGGAATCACCCTACTCACTGTCTTGGTGATTACAATAAAAATAAAGAGGGCCAGCAGGTGCAAGGTGGTTAAGGCGGCTGGATCCCATGTGGCCGACTGCACGGTTTGAGGCCCAGGCCCAGTGGCTTAGAGAACATGCCAAATGCATGTGTGTGCATGGAAAGGAATTGTGGTATGACCATTACCCCGGGGTGCTTTCTCGCTTTCCATCTCTCTTTCTCTGTCCCTTTCTGGTAAGCACATGTGTCCTTTAGCAAACTATGAACTAGATAGACAGACAGACAGACAGACGGACAGATAGGAGAGGTCAGAACAACGCCGGAGTCTGCCTCCAGGGCTATGGGTGTTACGGTCACTCTGGGTGTCCGAGAAAAGCCACGGAAACATTAGGTCAGACAGGCTGTGGGGCAAATGCTCAGCTGTGGGCACACTCACCCTCGGGCCCAGAGCTCCCGGGTCCCCTTTGTCTCCACGGTCACCCTTTTCCCAATGAAAGAAGAAAACATAATTAGAAGTGGGGCCAACAACATCTAGAAATATGTCACATCTAAGGACTTATGGATAACCTGTAGCAGCACCGTTAACGGGAGCTTCTGAAGTGAAGACCACCACCACCACCAAAGTGGCAAGTTCTTTATCTTCCTTTTTCTCTCTTTCTCTTTTTCCTTTCTTTTCATTTCTTTCTGATGCAACTTGAAGGGAATTGAAATTCTCTATCTGCTAGTAGCACCTCGGATCCACACTACATAGGATTACCCTCTCACTAGATGGGCACTGCAGAAGCCAATCGAGGGCTTCTGCAACTCCCAGTTAGCGGTGACCGTGCAGGTGGAGCCATGTTCTTCTTGTATTTGAAAAGAGTTGGGGCAAAGAGGAGAAGGGCCAAGCCACCGCGTGGTCTGTCCTCTGAGAAGACAGGCACAGAGGCACAGATAACCAGGACAAGGAGGGCAGGGGAGCCCCCTGCGGCAGCCAGCCTCCCTCGGGGATGGGGTCTCGGGAAGATCTATCTGTTGATATAGATGGTTTAACATCTGGTCGGTGCTGGAGTGGACAGCGTCCAGCTGACCAGGGCCGGCCAAGCCCAGCTCCGCTCCAATGCGATTTGTGTGTAGTGTCTTATTTGCAGAGACCCGGAAATAGTCTCAGCGCCCAGAACCCTCAGAGTCTACCTTGAGACTTTGAGGGAGATGTGAACTTGTGTAGACGTGAAGTTTCTAAAACAGTTTTTGATTTGTAAAATCCTTTTCTTGTATGAAATTCGAAACATTTGTATGTCTTTCTACAGACTCCTGTAAACTGGGTAAGGACCAATGAAGCTAAGCGGGAAAAAGGTTATACTTTCTGTCTACAGTATACTAGTAACAATGACTGTAACAGTGAAACTCTGAGCAGTGGGAAAGAATCGGGTTAGAGCCCTCTTTGTCATTTGTACCCATTCCCACGCTGTCCGCTAACAGGGTTTAAATAGCACGGCCCCCTCCTGGTTCACATGCGATTGCAGATAGTGTAAGAAACGCGAGAAAGGGAAGGATTTCAGCTAGTGGTGAAATTTTAATGCAATGACAGGAGTTAACTAACTGAAAAGCAAAGTGTAAGTTGAACATTTATCACGAAGATAGCCAGAGAATGAATAAGATTATATAATACATAATTTACATTAACTGAAATATTGCATTTTTTTCCAAAGAAGCTATCCTGTAAAACAAAATACAACTTTTCTTAAAGCATAGTTGGGGGGTCAGAAGGTGGTGTGATGGTTAAGGCACTGGATTCCCACATGGCCAATCGTGGTTCAAGTCCCAGACTCGGTGGCTTGAAAATCACACCAGGTGTATGTGTGTGGATGCCCAAAATCCCAGGAGGAAAAGAGGAGAAGGAATTATGGTGTGGCTATTCTCCCTGGGAGGTGGTTTCTCAATTTCTCTCTGTCTCTCTCTGGTGAACACATGCCTTATAGAAAAAAAAATAAAAACAAACCCACAAAACAAAAAAAGCATAGTTAGAAAAACAAGAATACATAAAAACAAGATGAAACAAACCAATTGTTTGAGATTCTATCATAGTGACGATGATGAATTATTTCAATCCCTGGGACCAGCAGATGGTTTAATAGCTATATCACTGGACTCCTGCAGGTCCTGGACCCAGTGGCTTAAACTCACACCAGGCATGTGTGTGTGTGTGCCCAAAATCCCAAGAGGAGAATGGAGGTGAAGGGACTGCAGCATGGCCATCCCCTCATAGTGAGTGCATGTGCCCTATATCAAAAATCTCTCTTAGAAAAATGTTTCCATCCCTACATGTGAGGGAGTTTCATCTAAAACAGCAGTCCCCAACCTTCTCGGCACCAGAAACTGGTTTTGTGGAAGACAATTTTTCCATGGACCGGGGTAGAATGGGTGGGTGGTGGTTGCAGGATCATTCAAACATTGCATCGACAGTGCATGTGCTTCTGTGACGATCCCATCGTGCTGTGTAGTGAAATGATCACACAGCTCACCGTAGTGCAGTGTTTGCAGGCACTCCCCACTGCCGGCGTCACTGCCTCAGCTCCTCCTCAGATCCCTGGCATTCCGGCTCAGGAGGAATGTACCCTGATCCCTGTGTGTGTGTGTGTGTGTGTGTGTGTGTGTGTGCATTCACAGCAGGGTTGGGCTCCTAAGAAGCTCTAGAGCTGCCCTGATCTGATGGAGGCGGAGCTCGGGCGGTGACGTGTGCTAGGGGGATCGGCTGCGAACACAGGAAGTTCCGCTGGCTCATCTGCTGCTCGCCTCCAGCCAGCAGCCCGGCTCCTACCAGGTCACAGACCAGAACCGGTCCTGGCCCAAGGGTTGGAACTGCTCCTCTAAAAGATGATCCTTTTGGAAAAGGCCACCGGCACCGTCTGAAAGGTTTCATGCTACATTGAAATGGTTACCCAGTTACTGACCTTTGACCCCTTCGGGCCTCTAGTTCCTGATTCACCTTGCTTCCCCTATTACCGGAGAATTGGGAGATGAAAGAGAGAAAACGACAGAGGAGATCAGAACAGGAAAAGGAAATTAGCAGTAATTCGGAATAATGAAAAATGGAAACCCGTTATTCTAGCTGTCTCACCATGGATTCTATACAATGTCGGCTACTGTGACACTAAGCCTAAGTACTGTCACCACGGCATTAGTGCCTTTTCTGGCCTCCCAGCCAATGCAAGTCCCCTGTTATTCTGAAGACTGGCCTCCCATCAGTGGGTGGGAAGAGTCCAGTGAACAATCTTAGTCTCAGAGCATTTGCATAAATTCCCTTTTCATCAATGAGTAAATCGTCTCCACGTCTCCACAATGGGTGATTAAAATAAAGTGCCACCACGTTCATTTGCAGGGAGTTTATATGAATAAAGCTCGAGCAGTCAAATAAATCCTCAGCTCTAATATTTTCGAGGCATTACACACCATCAAGTTACCATAGAAACGAACGCAGCCCTCATCAACAGGGGTTTTTCTTAATCATGCACAGTGAGCGCACGTTAGCACACGCCAAGTGGTAGCATGGCCTCACGACGTCTTGCTCACGTGCTATTTGGACATGTTATTAAACCTGTTCATAGAACAGAACAGCATACACAGGGAACTCCTTCACCGATCGGTTCTTTTCAAGAGATTTTGGTATGCATTTTGATAAACAGTGAGCTGGGCTGTTTTAATATTCGTTGACGGGTTTTTAGTTTTGTGTCCTGAAGCTAGTGGAACACACTTCCAAACTGAGGAACGTTCTTTCCAATGTAAAAACAACTGACCTTTGGTCCGGGGGCTCCGGGTTCCCCTCGCTCACCTCTTCCAGGAGGCCCTGCCTCCCCACGTTCTCCCTGTAACAGAATGCAAAACAGGTGAATGGCACCCTCGTCCCCAGGCTGGCCCCTGAAGGGTGATAAATGAATTGACTAAAATCAAAGGTACAGTATTTCGTGTTTCAATATCTTACTTTAGGAATGATGGAAGACTTCTAAAACAGTAGCTATGAGCTTCTTTTAGGAAAAAAAAAAAGAAAAAAAAAAACACCTTCAAATATTGGCTATCTGGGACCAGCAGACTGCATAATGGTTACGTCACTGGACTCCCATGTAGTTGACCACGGTTCAAGTCCCAGACTCAGAGGCTTGAAACTCATGCTGGGCTCATGTGCATGCGTGCCCAAAGTCCTGAGAGGAGAATGGAGGGGAAGGGATTGCGGTGTGGCCATCCCTCTTGGGGGTGATTTCTCGCTTTCCGTCTCTCTGTCTCTCCAGTGAGTGCACGTGCCCTATAGCAGAAATCTCTCTCTCTCAGTGATCTGTGGCTTACTACGGGGTGGAGGCACATAGACGCCCCTGGTCACAGTGCCCGATGGGGCGGGGCAGGCTCTGGAGTTGCATTATTCATTTGTGTACTTCTCCCCCCGCCCCCCCCAGCCACCTGGGATGTGAGCCTCAGGAGCGTGGAGACTGCTCTGTTGCTCTTACTCCCTCCCCATTCTCAAATTCGGCGACAGATCTGGCAGAAGGTCTGCTGACGGGTGACTAAGTGCTCACAGTCCACGCTACAACACTCTGACTGCAGCCCCGTTTCTTCAGGACCCCCTTCCACGGGAGCACGGAGGCCCTCCACGCTTGGTCACCAGGACCCCTCCTCGCTGTGCTGGGACTGAAAATGTGACCTCCTGTGTTCCGCACCCGATTGAGTGGCACGGACCCAGGCTGCCTGCCCAGCCAGGGAGTCTCAGGGCTGACGCTGTGCGGGCTCCGAGCCCCCGTGGACACAGGCCGCCCAGCCGACAGCCCGAGGCACTGTCCGTGGAGTGGACTTCCTACCTGTGCTCCCTGCTGGGAGCACGCCAACGAGCGCAGTGCTGTCTTTAATGTTATGGGGCTCAGGGCAGCGTCTTGTGTTTAAGTGTTGGCCCGTAAAATCACGCAGTGCTCTTCGCCCCTGCCGTGGATGCTGACTTTATTGCTCTGCGTGGACCATGTTTTGGAACTGCGGAACTGTTCAGAGTCGTAACTGAAGAGAAGGTGTTGAGGCATGCGCCCTGCCTCACCGCCTGTTTTTCTTCTTGTTTTGAACAGTAAGTCCCGAAGCAGCCACATGCCCGTCTGGTCAGGGCTAGCGTTCCGTCCTGGACCTGACGGTGCGCACCGGGCTTCTCAGCACGGCAGGGCGGAGGGTCCCGGCACCACCACACAGCAACACCTTCCGTGTGGCCATCACAGCCTGCAGCACTGCCAGGCGACGGGACTCTCCGGTCTGTCGCTGACTGAGATGTTGCCCCGTGGCGAGGCCTGTAACTGGAGGGGTGACGGGAAGGGAGCCTCAGTGGCCACGCCGCTCCTCTCTCCCCAACGTCGCTCTCAGAAGGCCTGGCCTTCGCAGGTCTGGTCGCACCTGCTCTGCCCGGCAGGCTCAGCTCTCCCTGGGCCTGTGCCTCGCATCTGCGGGCAGGGTGCCCTCCTGCTCACCTGACTCTGGGGTTACGAGTGGAATACAGACGTCCGTGCTCGAATTCGCAGGCACGTTCACGACGCCCCTGGTCTCATTGCAGAAAGGCATTTGGGGTGTGATTCTGTTTAGGCTCAAACAGGCATTTCCCATATTCTGCTAGTAAGCCTGCCGGCTCATTATGTGAGTAAGAAACTTCTTAGGAAACAGCTATTTTGCACACTTTGAGCAAGTCTGCCCCAGGCCATCTGGTGTGCGCTTAGTAGGGAGTTCTCCCGCAGCCACAGCGGGGCACTGGGCCTCCCGCAGAACCCAGGAACGGACTTCCCTAATGCCTGGAAACCATCCCTGGCTTATTTCTGGGAATGCAAGATACATCGAGGCCAGACTGCCAGGGCTCAAACACACAGGACTGAAGTTTGCTGCAACGTTGCCCCTTTGATTCACGAGCCTGTCACAAGTAAAGCCCCCTCAGAACCGAGCCTTCCTGCGCTTCCTGGGCACGCACAAACGACCCCATGCCCCTGAGTCCACAGCCATTTCTTCCCTGCCCCCCCCCCAGCATGAATTGTGTGTTTAGGGCCTGCTGAGGTTGCTGAACAGAAGACCACGAAACGGTTTTCATTACAGGCTCATCCTGCAGTTACTCGGGGTGGCCTCCGGGATGAGGCTCTTGGGCCTGCAGGACTTGGCCCTCACTGTGCAGCCTCTGCAGTGCGTGTGTGCGTGTGTGTGTGGGGGGCAATGCTAACGTGTGACTTACACGCGTGCCCTAAAAGCAGTGACGACTGGCCGGAGTTAACGATCTCTCGCTCCTCCTCAGAATTTCCCACTTTTCCGTAGGGCCACGCCCAAACCCCCCCCTGCCCCGGAGCCCCCAGCCATTTCTTCCCTGCCCCCCCCCCAGCATGAATTGTGTGTTTAGGGCCTGCTGAGGTTGCTGAACAGAAGACCACGAAACGGTTTTCATTACAGGCTCATCCTGCAGTTACTCGGGGTGGCCTCCGGGATGAGGCTCTTGGGCCTGCAGGACTTGGCCCTCACTGTGCAGCCTCTGCAGTGCGTGTGTGCGTGTGTGTGTGGGGGGCAATGCTAACGTGTGACTTACACGCGTGCCCTAAAAGCAGTGACGACTGGCCGGAGTTAACGATCTCTCGCTCCTCCTCAGAATTTCCCACTTTTCCGTAGGGCCACGAGGTTACGGCATCGTGTCAGTGTAGGAGCAACTTGGGGACAACCAGGAAAACTGACGTCCCCGTCCTGCCATGGCCTCGCCCAGGGCTTTTGGCAACTCCCTGTTTACTACGGAGTCCTGCTCGCAGGCCAGGAGTGGGCCCGGCTGCCCCTGTTCTCTCGGGTAGCGATACCCCCCACTTTTTTTCAAATAGGTGGCTAAAACACACCACACGGAAGAGCACACGGACAGGGAGCGGGGAGACGCCACTTACCTTTGTCCCTGGGAGCCCCGGTAAGCCTGGCTCCCCCTGCGGACCGATGAAGCCGGGCTCGCCCTGTAAGAAACGGTAACACGAGGTCACGCGTCACGCAAGGGGGGACGCGCGTCTCAGCCCTGCCTGGGTCTCCGCCGCTGGGTCGCTCGCAGCTCTCCTGCCGAGATCCGGCCACTGACTCCAGCGCCAGTCAGAACTGGAGGTGCTCGAAGCCTGGAGGAGTTTAGAGAGAAACCGCCCGAGAAGTCAGATAAATGCTGCCATCTCCCTGCAGGCCTGACCCGAGGCCTGCTCCGGCTTGCCGCGGTCGTGGGTATGGTGCACGGGGTCCTTCGTGCAGGAAGGCTCAGTTCTGAGGGAGGACCAGTGCCCACGGCCTCCGCGGCCGCTCCAGTGCTCGGGGCTCGGGGCTCGGGGCTCTCCTCCCTGGGCGCTGGATCGACTGCCTCCCAAACAGGGCGGACGAGCTGGGATCTCGCTCCTGGGCCTCCACTGCAGAGCTCGGGGCCCCTCCTCGCTCTCCCTCTCACGCCTCTGCCACGGGGAGCTTGTGCTGTCAGTGCTCCCCCGCGAGGACGGAGGCCCGACCACGGCCACAGCGTGAGTGTGTGAGTGTCTGTGAGACTGCAGCTGGTGACGGCTTCGCTGCAGCCCCACGGGGACCCTGAGCCAGAGCCCCCTGCAGTGCCGGCACTGAATCCTTCCCTCAGAAAGTGGGTGGCTAAGGCCTGTGTCCTGAGCCGCTCAGCTCAGGGTGCTGTGGTGGACAGCAGTGGACAACTGACGGAGTGGACGTGGCCAGGGGCGAGATCTGGGGATGCTCGGCGTGACGGGAACAACGCGCCGGCCCTCTCCAGAACCTGCCTGGACTGCCTGGGGAAACCCGGCTGCCGGGAACAGCAAAGACATTTGGGCCTGCTCCCCATTCCTGCCCTGACTCTCGGAGGTTCTGAGCGACCGGAGTGCCGAGGAGCATCTGCTGTTATCCACGGCCAGCGCTTCCACCCTTTCCCGAGTTCCAGTTCCGGGCCCAGGAGCCTCAGCATGGAAGCGGCTGCCAGAGGGTGGCCCGTGCTGCGCGGCTGACTCCCGCTCCCACCA